TCGGCCTGTACCACGGCCGCTTCGAGGAAACCCTCCCCGCAGACGCCATCCATCGTAATCATACCCGTCACGGCCGTACACCACGTCTTCCGCATCTCGCGGGTTCTCGAATTCAACGAAGGCTACGGGAGGTCCCCCGCGGCGATTCTTGAGGTCTATGTCTCAGATTAGCGCCGTATTTGTAGAACACGTCCTCATTGTCCTTGGTTTGGATGTCTGGTGGTAAGTTACCCACGTAGATGTGGCAATCGTTGTTGCCTGCCGGGCCACGACTCAAACCACCTCCCGACATGGCAGTGATGAAAAGCACGGACTCAAAAGCGAGCCTTCTGCACAGCAGAGCCAGCCTGCAGCAGCATGACATCTGGAAGGATTGATTTTTCAACCATCATAACTGCTACCCTAAGAAGTCCCTGTAAAGACAAGCCCAGAAATTTGAGATAAGTCCATTGAAATACAAATCAGACACCAGACGTAAGAATTGATAGCCCAAGGGGGTACGTGCTGTAGTTTTCCCAGTCATGTGTGGGGGATCCAAGAGAACCTCTCAAAATATGGAACGCTGGCTGGTGAGCTGTAGAAATGTAGAGCTGTGTCATTGGGGGTTCTCTGGGAAGCAGGTGCTGAGAGTGAGTTAAGATGTGAGAAGCTTATTGAGTAGTTAACATCTGTGACAAATAAAGGGGTAAGAAGGAGAATTGGGCAGAAAAAGCCTCAGAACATGATACAGATCTGACACCTGTGAAAGAAAACAGGCGGGAACAAACTGGGTAGGGAGAGCCTGCAGATGGTGATTCAGCCATGACACGTGTGAAAGAGGATGACAGTAGGATTAGGGAAGTAGAGCCTAAGACCACAGTGCATTTTTAAATTTTTATTTATTCATTCACTTGTTTTGTTTGTTTTTTGTTTTCTGGTTTTTTTTTTTTTTTTTTTTTTTTTTTTTGTTTTTTTTTTTTTTTTTTTTTTTTTTTACCAGAGAGAGACACACACAGAGAGATAGGGAAAGTGAGAAAGCAAGCCACCAGCTCCAGGACTCGAACTGTGGTCAGCCATGTAGGAGTGTCCAGTGCCTTGACCACCATACCACCTGCTGGTTCCAGGAAGTGCATATTTGGCAAAGTTTTAGCCAACCCAAGTGGTGAGCTCCAGAGCAAAGGTTGTATGTTGGGCATAATGTGGGCAGATCATAGCATCCCTGCCACGCTTAGTTGCTAACAGGTGAATGCCCAGCATAAGTTAAAACACTGTAGCAATATCTGAAGGGGTTGCAGCTTGGCACTGTCAGCTACTTCCACTCTTGCAGCAAAATGGCAAGTTCTTTCTTGAAAGGATCCTAGCAGTGTTTCTCCATGTCTGCCAGAGGCCTTCCTTGGTAATGCCACTGGAGTGGAAAGTGGTGACAAATTTTTTTTGAGAGAGATTTTTTTCTATAGGGAATGTGGGCTCGCCAAAGAGACAGAGAAACAGAAAGCAAGAAATCACCCTCCGGGGGGTGGCCATGCCAAATCCCTTCTCCTCCATTCTCCTCTTGGGATCTTGGGCATGCACACACATGTGCCCGGTGTGAATTTTAAGTTGCTGGGTCTAGGACTCAAACCGTGGTTGACTCTGTAGGAATCCACAATGTAACCATTACACCACCCAATGGTTCCAAGAGTGGTGAAAAAAATTTTGGGAGCTTGTTACTTGTTCCCTGGAATTTGGAGGCATATATATACATGGTTAATAGAGAGAATGGTTCCCACTTCTCTCCTGGAGAATGCCACAGGTGGAGGTGCTGGCTAAAGTAGCCTATAGCAGTAGGTTGAGGAGAGTAGAAGAGGTAGGGTAGCCTGTACTACCAGTGTAGGTATGGTGAGGGTGTTTGAGTTCCCCATGGAACAAGTAGGTACATGGGAATGTAGCTGGACTGAACTGGTTGTGAATTGCCCTGTTCAAGCAGGTAACCTGTTGAGGTGAGCGGTTATTACTTGTAAGAGACTATGGGTATACTGCCAGGGAAAGGAACTGAAGGAGGTGCAAAAAATAACCAAGAGAGCCATCATTCACTTTAGGGACTCTGTAGTGTGGAATTTTTAATTTTTAATTATTTTTTATTTTTAGAGAGACTCTTACTATAGGGTGTGTGCATTTGCCAGAGAGACAGAGAGACAGAAAGTGAGAAATCACCCCACAGGGGGTATGGCCATGCCGCAATCCCTTCTCCTGTCAGGATTTGGGGCATGCATGCATAAGCACCTGGTATGTTTTAAGCGACAAGTCCAGGACTCGAACTGCGGTCAACTACATGAGAGTCCAACGATGTAACCATTATGCTAGCTCTGGTCCTAGTAGTATGGATATTTTTGTTGGGGTCTCTGAAGAATTCACACATGTGCTCCCCAAACAAGCCTTTGGAATATCTGCCACACACAGTACATCAAGGGACAGCCTGTATTAGCCAGAAAAGAGCTACTAAAGAAGGACCAGGGGCCAGCAGGTGGGGTAGAGGATAGGGCGGCTGAATCCAACATGACTGACTGGGCAGTTCAAATCCTGGACCCTGAAGCTCGAAAGTCACACTGGGCACATACACAGCAAACAACAAAGAAGGGGAAGGAGATAAAGAAGAGGAACCAGTTGAGTAATAAACAAAGAAGAAAAAAAACCCACTTGGATCCTTGCCTCTAATCCCTTATCCCCTCCTCACCCTGGAGGACCCTCTGTGTACTGGGCTTCTTTCTTTCTTTCTTTATTTTTTGGAGAGGTTTTTGCTACAGGGCGCATGCGCTCACCAGAAAGACAGAGAGACAGAAAGCGAGAAATCACCCCCCAGGGGGGATAGCCACACCACAATCCCTTCTCCCCCATTCTCTCAGGATCTTGGGCACGCACGCACCACACGCGCCCGGTGTGAGTTTAAGCCACTGGGTCCAGGGGGTGAACCGTGGTCGGCTACATGGGACTCCAACGACATAGCCATTACGCTAACTGCTGGTCCTGTGTGCTGGGTTTTTCAAGGTATGTCCAGTAGTGCTAAGGGATATCAGTGCTGAGCAGTGCCTGGGCTATCTTCTGATTTACTGTGCCTTTGTGTAAGTTAAGCCCCTATAATGATCTGGGACTATATCCTTATATACTACACGATGTTACACATACAGGCTCTCATCTGGGCAAGGGCTGTCTCATGGAGTGCTGAGTAGTATGAACATGGGCGGTAGAATCACCAGAGGTGATTGGTGGTATCTATAAGGGCCCTGTTTTGGAAGGAGCTACCTTATGCCTTCCTGAGAAGAGTTATGGCTATAGCTTTCTATGAGACTGTAAGGATGCAGAGAGTCTTGACTCATGCTTTCTCCTGGAGTGTTAAATGTTGGTATGAATAAAAGGCATGCTTATCCCAGGGATAGGCGCCTAGTAAGTTAAGTAATGCTATGATGATGGCCTTGGTTTAAATAGGAGCTTGTGTTGGAAACGATGAAAGTAGGTATGGGCCTTATTTTGGTGCTATGATTTGGAATCTCACTGGGGCTATGTTGTGGTTTCCTTGACTAGTCAACAGTGGTGATGTCAGGACTAGCAGATGGCATAATGGTTACATCGCTGGGCTCCCATGTAGTCAATCGTGGTTTGAGTCCCGGACCTGACAGCTTAAAACTCATGCCACGCACATGTGCGTGCATGCCCCAGATCTCAAGAGGCGAATGAAGGAGAGGAGACTGCAGCCTGGTCATCCTCCTTGGGGGGTGATTTCTCTCTTTTTGTCTTTCTGTCTCTCCGACAAGTGCACACACACACTATAGCAAAAATCTCTTAAAAAAAAAAGAAAGAGTGGTGATGTCATTCTGCAGCTTATTATGGCCTTTTTACAGCATGATGAGTGGTGGTATGGGTATAGGTCCAGCTGTAAATGTTGGTTACCAGGTCTTGTGGTTAAGAATGTAGGCTCTGGGTCAGACTGCATTTTTGCACTACAGTGGCTCCTTGAGCTGAGTAGCCGGCCTTCTACAGTTCACCCGTCATGACTGCTCATGCAACGAATGCTTATGCATTCCTG